ATCCAACCTCTCATTTAAATCCTTCTTCGACTTTCTAAGTAGAACTATATCATTTGCAAAAAAACAAACATAGATTTTGATGCTAGCTCTTGGGTGTGTTTGTTTTATCAATACATTCAAAATTAAAATAAAAAAAGATAAGGACTTAGGCTTAAACCTTGGGTGCAATCCTATTTTAGTAGAGAAATCTCCAATTTCTTCACCATGTGTCTGCGCGCTAGTTGATCCCTTTCATATATATCTTGGATAACTCGAATATAAGCAACTCTAACTCTTTTTTTCTCTAGGACTTTTCACAAAATCTCTCTAGACACTCTATCATATGACTTCTCCAATTCATTGTAAATTAAAAATTAAGTGCAAGTCTTATTGGTCCATATGATACTATTTCATCACACATTGTAGTAGTTAAATTATTTACATAATCAACCTCCCAGGCATAGAGCCAAATTGATTCTTACTAACTTAAATCTCTTTTATTAGTCTTCCCTTAATCTTTTTTTCCTATAACTTCATGGTAAGACTAAGAAGTTTAATTATCTTATAATTTATATAATTTTGTAATTCACTTAGTTATTATAGATTAAAATCAAAGTATTTCTTCTCCATTCATCTGGCATTTAGTTTGACCTCATAATTTTTGTTCTGTTCTGGAACTAAAATTGGATGTACGTTGATAGTAAGGAATCTTGAACTAGTTGTGTTGATCTCTGATACGGTGGCGCGAGGGTAACTTGTAAGGTTAGCACTCCAACGCCCAAGTCAAGATGAGTGAAGTAAAAAGTGGAGATCAAAAAGAGTATATTGAATTTATCGTATGATAACTTTTATACTTTGATTCATTTGTGTTGGACATGTGACTCCACATGCAAGATAGGGGGTGAATTGTAGGCATGTGAAATTCCACACATGCTTGGCAAAAATGAGAATATTTAAATATATATTTACCTTTATGTTTGGTGTCTTTATTTAGATTTGTATGCTTAGTTATTTTATTCTTTCTTTATGAATGTATGGTCCACCTTATCGGTTCCTAGTCTCCACACCTTGGATTGATTAGTGGGTTCTTATTGTGTCAGGGTTTTCTCTTTGTTCCTTTAATATTGAATTTGTTTGTATCTAGTGTGTTCATCAAATTTTGTAGTCTCAACCGGAGTTCCGTTGTCAATAGCTTCAATTGGGAAGAGTTAGTGTCGTTCTTCAGTATTGCTAGAAATCATCCTCATCAAAAGATAAGGTTTATATCCCTGTCCCCAGATTTGACCTAGTTCAGGGTGGTGTCTCCAGACTCCGCCACCTACACTCTTGGAATGGTCAGTTCCTAAGAGGGTGAGCCAACTACGCTTGAAGTGTGTTCACCAAATGTGGAATCTGCCTCTAAAAAGCGGCTTACACCATCCTACAAAGGATTACAAGACCCTTGGTGGTTGCAATATCTCATTGTTATCAGATTAATTATTGAAATTGAGAAAAAAAATTATGGACTACTTAGCTCGTCGAGAAAGTCACAGTGGTAGTATATTAGACTTCTTCTTTACTTCTCGACTAACTGTTCAGTCTGTGGATGTGGTCCTTCTTTTCATATGTTCGGTGGATGCGCTCGTCTACCACGATTTAGGTCCACATACCTTTTCTCAAGGGGTGCTATAGAGTAGCCACTACCTTTGCAAATTTCACTCGTTCACAATCGTAGAGGCTCTTCCGCCTTTAAGTGGCTGCTCGGAGTTGTATCTTATGAATGGTTGGTTGAGTAGTACATCATTTTTATTTTTTTTATTTTGAGGTTGACGCCGTTCTCCAAAATCTTTCAAAATTCAGTTAATAGTGTGCTCGTAAGGGATATAGAAAAATATTCCCCGAGATCTGACTGGATTTGGCTCACTCTAAGACTATTATTGAATGGGGATGAGATTCCTAAAGAGTTTCTTCGATAAGTCTCTCTCTAGTCAATGGGTGTTGAGCTTGGTTTTCTTATTTTTTGTATTATCTCCAAGAGGATTGGCAAATCCGAGCATTTAGCTTGATAAGATCACCGAGCTGAGACATCTTGGACGGTGATTCCCTTCAAGGCTATCAGAAACTCATGGCACCTTCCTCTCACATAGTCTTTCCTCTCGAGGGTACAGTTTTGTTATTTTGTGAGGGTAAGCTCTCGAATTATCAAAGTTCAAAGGATCTCGTTATCGAGTGTGTTCAGATCTGATTGTCGCAAATTTGGTTGCTTGATTGCGTCGGATCGGGGTTATCACGAGGAATCCACCATCTACGAGGTATCTCATAGGTGTTTCACCAGTAGTGGTGGTTGCCAAAACCACCACTAGCTCCGCACTTGAGATTATTCTTATCTTCTTATCTCTAGAGTATCCTAGTGCACCTCGATCTTTGTTTCTTGATTCTATATCACTCATTCATTTGAATGTGGTGTTTTGATGACGAATCAACGTCAGATTTTACGATGTTGTGAATCTCAATGGTGAGGATCAAATATGGTAGAATAGAATCTAAATACCTAACAATTTGGGTCATGACAATGTGTAATGTGATTCACGACGATAAGTACTATAATTTGCAGTAACTATGCACTCGGAACTCCGCTTACCTCATCGTGATCCAGGAATCCTTGTACCATGGGGTCTTCGCTTATCGCTTTAAGCTTACTCGTCGCATCGAGAAAGTACTCTTGTAGTGCTCTACGTTAGAAGTTGTTATGGAGAGGGTCTCCTTTATGACGAGGCGTACAAAATTTGGAGGTTAATCAAGGATCTTCAGTGTAATATTTGAGGTAATTGTCTTCATTTCTCAATTTTAGTGAGGATCCGATTTTGGATCTAGGACACTATTCGTGAAATTTTTGCAGGAATTATGAGTCAATTCCCACAAATGACGTCGTTATTCCATTTTGGGACCAGGTGTAGGCTAAAAGTGAGGAATCTTGAACGGCTTGCGCTGATCTCGGATACGGTGGCACAGATGTGGACCTACAATGTTAGCACTCCAATGCTCAAATCAATTCAGAATTCAAGATGAGTGTAGTATAAAGTGGTGATCAGAAAGAGTATTTTGAAATTTTCGTTTGATGCCTTTGATACCTTGAATCATTTTAAGTGGATTGACATTAATTTGTGTCTTGACTTTTTAGGTTTATGACCAATCCAAAATAATTTTTATTTACGAGTTTGGTGAATCACTCAATGTCTCTATCTTTAAAAAAAAAATTTATAAAAAAAAAAATTCAATAGATATGTTATCAGGCTTAACCATCTAAAGTTACACTATCATTAAAGTGTAATTAAAAACAAATAAAAAAAATCCGTACCAGCGGATATTCGTGGATAAAATTCGTCATAGATATGGGACAAAGAACTTAATGAATATCCACGAATAAAATAAATGGATATTTAAATATTCGTTTGTTAATAGATATGTTTAATGATATTTGTGTCCGCGGATATCCATATCCGCTAATAAATTATAAAAATCATTTAAATATCATTAGTTTATTATACCTTATATTTTTATCTTCTAAAAAAATTAGTCTTCTTATATTTATTCTTTTTTTTGTTGTTGAATTTTTCTTTGAACAAAACCTTTCACATTTCATTCAAATTTTATTAGTCATTTCATATTTAAACTCTTCAATACTTCATATCCCACTTCAACAATTTCACAATCCAACCAATTAGTGTCGTCATTCCTCTGCCGAGTCAGTGTCTCCCTTCCTACTCCTCTATTGTCCGCTATTTCATCATAACTCACAATCAAAATATCTTTTATTTGTTGGTTAAAAATGAAATGTATGGATATTATGTTTGGATTTAATTATGTTTTTGTGATTTAGAAGAAAATTAATGTGATGAAATTCCATTTTTAAATTACGAGCGAATTGTATGGATGTCATGTAATAATAATTGTGTCTTTAAAAGAAGTTAAGAATATTTTTTCTAAAAAATATATTATCCATGAATATCTGTAAATATTCACGAATATTATAAAACTCGCGGATTACCCGCTTAACAGATATTCACATGGATATAGAATGTACATGAATATCATATTTATTCAATGGAACGAATACGGATATCATAGTATATGTTCCCATTAATCTCTACTTACATCCCTTTCACTCTACGCCCATTTTAAAAATAAAAATAAAAAAATGATGTATTTTAATAGTTTTTTTAGTTATTAAAAGTTATACCAAACAATATATGATAAATATATACTATTTTCATTTTTTAAATTCATTGAATAATCAATGTATCTAATTTATAAACTCATCAAATATATTAATCATTCAATAAATCCAAAAAATAATTGCGGAACGGATGTAGTATCTTTTAAATAATGACAATTTTCATCTGATGACCAATTTCGCAAAACAATTAAATTAGATTCAACTTAAAATTTTAAAATAAAACTCCCTCCAATGATTAAAGATTTTTATCCTACAAATGATACCCTCTACAATTTTTTTAAAGACAAATCGCTTATTAAATTTATTGATTAAGTAATATATATATACTATATACATTGAGTTGCTCAAAAAATAAAAAGTAAATAAATTTGGACTAACACAACTACAAGCCAGTTTGGTAAGTTAGGAATTTTAAATTTAACTACCCAACTCAAATTTCTAAGATAAATTTTCCGAATCACTATCTTAATAAATTTCACACCATTTATTGGTTAATTTTCAATCCAAATATCACTTCTGTGAATTGAAAGGGAGTAAATGGATGGGAGACTAAATGGAGCAGAACTCATAAGATTTTGGAGTAAAAATAACTTCATCTTTTTCAAACAAAACTCTGGAAAACATTAGAAGGGGTGTGAATCAAACCGATGTACCATGCATTTCAATACTGTCAAAATGTTTTCCGATGGGTTAGCTCCATAATATGGAGATTCAGAAACTAACCTCTCAAACTCTAGACAAAACTCAATATCTATAGTGAATCTAAAAATTACATCACAAAATACATCCATTGGATAACCTGCAGCTAATACATTCCTCCAAGTCTGTCACGTCCCACACCACCACGCCTATCATCTCTTCCCCCAACACGGTTCATGACATTATCCCTGCGATAGTCTTTTGCTGGTGGGCCACCTCTGATAGGAGAACGGCTTCTTTCCCTTGCGTCCCGAGTCCACCGATCGCCACCGCCGCGATGGGGAGGAAGTGACGGCAAAAGAGGTGCAGGTGGTGACAGTGGCCTTCTCGGTGACAGTGGCCTTCTCGGGGACAGTGGCCTTCTCGGGGACAGTGGTCTTCTCTCGAATCCTTTCCTTTCATTTGAGAAATCATCTCTACCACGATCTCTATTATCCCAGTCCAATGGAGGTGCCCTATCAAACTTATTTCTCCCCCTGTAGGCATCATCCATGTAATCCATTCGCTCTCTATGCACATTGGGTTCTGGAAACCTACCTTCGTGTCGGAGGGGTGGCAGAGGAGCAGCCGATCCATACTCTCTAGGGCCATCTCTTCCCATCATACGAGGAGGAGGAGATCTGTAGCCATTCATAGGCCTTTCCGGGGAACGGTCAATTGGAGGTCCAGGATAGCGTCTAGGAGGAGCTTGAAGTGGTGGAGAACCCCTCCTAGGAGGACTTCCAGCAACAGCAGGACGAGGCCTCTTACAGTTGTTACAAAAGTCACGCCTTGCAAAATTAAGATTACCACATCTGCAAGAAAGTAAAGCAAAAACGGTAATATATCCTCGGAATGATGCCAATTTGTTCAGACTTTAGATGCGTAACAACTAGAATCCTAAATTTCAAAACTACAGAGCAAATTAGAAGATTGGTATATGCAATAGGTCATTTCAATGAAAAGGAAAGTCTTTAAAACTAGAGCTTACAATGAGTCGGGACACATCCAATCTCCCTCCCTAGGACGCACATTGGGGTTGTTTCTACCATGGCCTTCTCCTCTTGCATGACCATGACCATAGCGAGGCCCATCAAAAGCTCTACCAAATGGCCTGCCGCCTGCTCTACCTCGAGCATACGGGTGTGGAGGATCTCGATATCTGCCAGGATCTCTCCCACCACCATATCCACGGTTTCTTGACAAGTGATTATAGTCAGAAGTGAAGCGATGATCAGCATCTCTTCGGTGAACAGGAGACGAGGAACCTGCACGAAATCTATATCCTGGGAAAACAAAGGCAATGTGAGGGTAAATTTATCATTTCAATCTAGAAAATGCCCAAAACATTGTGATCATACAACTTCCATATAATCAGTTTGAAATTTCAAAGAAACATACCACCGCACAGGGAATATTACCATAATAAAAACAGGCTCAATGAGTAAGATTTTCCACAAACATAAAAATTACCACCAGTATAGCCTTGACCGCAATTCTTTTTATGTCTGAATAATATACCAGACTCTGATATAGTTAATTACACAAACCACTTAACATAAGCATCTGAACTATCAAATCCATATTCATGTTTCGAAGTCAAGAGTAAGAGCTAACTTCTAAAAAAGCTAATTTGAACGTGATAAACAATAGACCAATGTCATTTCATTTCACCCAATCTAACTCCAGATCCCACAATCAGAATGTACACCACAAGGAAACCAGCAACAACCATCCCCAAAGTGCAACAAAATCCTGAGGTTTAATAAAATGCCCCCATCAACAAGTTGTTGGAATCCTTCTGGGACCACTTTTGTTAGTCTGCCATGGTAGCCAAGAATCAATTTAGGTGACATAATTCATGAACTAGAACGACCCAGGCAAAAAAAACCAATGAAGCCATGAAATGATCCCAGCAACCAACTCCCATATCTTCTGTAATAAACTGTCCACAAATAACTTCAAAACAACACGAGAAAGAGTTCAGAAATGGAGAAGTGCATCAGTTCATTTTTAAAAGATATGCATCCCTTTATCTGTACCACATCAAATTATCAATGCTCCCAGTTAATGCATCATCATTATGAAAAACATTAAGGATTTGGCAGAAGATACACGGTCATGTGATAAAGAAAGCCCCTAAACTCGCATTCTACTCGTAAAGCGGTCTCCCATGTTGTAAATAAACAACCATCTGATCACCCCTATAGTTAACCAACCAAAGAAGAAAAATCCACAGAAAGTAAAATGACAACCACCAGCCAAAACAATCATTACAAGGAATATTCCACAAGTAAACCACATACATGTAGCAGGAATTGAAATAACCAGAAGTTGAATAACAAAAAAACACCACATATAACCAACGACACAATGAACTTTTTTCCTCGGTAAATCATAGCTTTCCAAAACGTCAGGTCAGCTTCTGCAAGGTAATAAATTACGAGCTCACCCACCCACACACTTCTTGCAGCAGAACCTAGTTATACCAACCAAAAACTAGTTCTAACTTAAGGTTATTCACAAAAAACAATTGGTAACTGTCATTGTCTGTCCTCTACAAACCCTGTAACCACTTTGATGTTCTACCACATTGCCCATGCGGTACCATGTATGGAAAACTTCAAATTGTATCCCATATTCCATTAAAGTTGACTGTCTTTTAACCTTCACAAACACCCAAAAACCAAACATATACTCAGGGCTCTGCAAAATGTGAACCCATGCAGCAGATATTGTGCCGCAAAACCCGCCCACAAGTTCATGCAGAATGGACAACTTCCATCAACCAACACACTTATTGACCCTTTAAAATGAAAAAACATTCCGACATCATGATCCAAAGCTGAGTTCAAAGCAACATGCCTTCCTCAAAGCCCAAAACCTGAGGCAACATCAGAGCTGTAACACACAAATGCAAATTTTACTCACTGTTGACACTCCATAATCGTTAGAGCATCCATATGTGTGGCATGCATGTAATGATTAGACAGCAGGCCTAACAAAACCGACATCCATACACATAATGTCAGTCAAAAAAGTTTTTAAAAAAAAGGCACCATGACTGTTAATCATTAGAGCATCCATATGCGCGGTAGGCATGTAATGAATAGACAACAAGCCGAACAAAACCGACATTCATACACACAATGTCAGTCAAAAAAGTCTTTAAAAATTAGGCATCATGGCACCGTTAAGCTCCCATCATAGAGAAATACAATTTGAAAGCAACTCCACCCATTAGCATTATAGCATAAAAAATAAATGGGATTTTAACCTAATCCCTAGTAAACCGAATACAACAAATTCAACAACCCATTTCAACTTAAAATCATGTTTCACCAATTAAAAAAAATAAAAAACCATGTCATGGACCATATTTCAATTTTCACAACATGGACAGAAAATTTATTTAAATTGCCCCCGCAATTAGTTGTCATCAATGTATGACCCTGAACAATTTGTGTTAGCAGTAGTCAAGTTGATATTTCAATCATATCCAATGCTAATTTACACACAAAAAAAAAGAACTTTTAATGCCCCAATAATGTATCTTGCTGAACTATTAGTGTGAGCAAAAGTCGGGTTGACATTTCAATCAAATCCAATGTTAATTACACCAACAAAAAGAAAAATAATAAACATTCCTTTACATGTTTTAGATGCTGCAAGCAAAAAAAACAAACAAAATCTAAAACTCCGTACCATCAATCTGTCTAATATCCAAATCAGTGTGCAATCTCATTCAAAGTAAAAACTAAATTGCAGAAAACTAACAAATCAAGCAAACGAACAAATTCAGTTAATCATTCATAATTATGAAATTCCTAAATTGAAAAACCTAATCCGATAACAGCCAGAATAACATATATAAAATAGCGAGAGGGAACAAATTACAAACCAGGATCATCAGAATAGCGATCAGAGCGGGAGTAAGGAGGTGGAGGAGGATCACGGCGGAGTTCACCGGGCTCGTAATCGTTGGAATGAGCACCACCGGGAGAATTCTCGGCTAGGGAGGGGCGGACGACAAGGCTGCTCAAGAGAGGTTGGTGATGGTGAGGTGGAGATTGGTCGCTGTCCCTTGAAGATCCCATGGCTGTTCTTTTCAGGAGAAGAAGATTCTGGATCGGTGATTTCTGAATTGTGTGATCCACCAGGTTGGTTTTTCGATCCCGGCGGGGATGTATATAAACCCTACACACCGTGTACTCAAATATTAATTGTTATTTTTATAATTTACAAATATATTATTAGTATTATATTAAATAAATAAAGAAAAAAATATTGTCACTTATATATAACATGTATTACATCTATAATATAAAAAACATTAAATGCGGAAAACACATTTATACTCATCTCTTTTTCTGCCACATCATTAATTGAGGTAATTTGTGTTTAAATTTTATTTTTTTACAACCAAATTATCGTTTTGAACCAAATAGTTTATTTTTGCTTTTCATTTTTATCTATGATGTCTACTGTTTACATTAATTGGTTTAAAATAAACTATTCATTTTTAAATTCTACAACTCTTTACATTTTTCAATGTCAGATGCAATTCAAAACAAAAAAAATTGTTTCCCCCCAAATGCAAAATCACGTTCTCTTTTTTTCTCTACCAGTTCCTTCATCTTCCTTTCTTCTCTCTTCCATTGTCTCTCTCGTCCTCTTTTATCTTCTCTCTTTTGATGTCTCTCTTCTTCTTCTCTCTCTCTCTCTCTCTCTCTCTCTCTCTCTCTCTCTCTCTCCTTTTTCTTCTTCTTCTTCTTTCTTTTGTCTTCCTTTTCTTCAACAAAGATGTTACTTTTATCCTTCTCTACTTAAATCTACGAAACTCTGGCAATTTTACGGTGGTGGGCGGTTTGACAGTGGTAGATTTGTGGCGGCGGCAACGAATTTCGACGCGATGAGTGTGGTGGTGGTCGGATTCAAAATGGTTTCTATGTTACCTTTTCAATTTAGGTTTTTGTTTAACTTAATCTCTTTTATTTGATCTGTTTAGGTTTTGAACTTTGGAGAAAGCGAGAATCGGGTAGAAGCTGGTCTCTCATCATTGTCATCACGTTCAATATGGTTATGAACTGAGTTGATCATTTTTCTCATGACCTTTTGAATTTGAATGAAATTTAAACCTTGTGTATTATGTAAAAAGAAGGAAACCACATTTGAATGGCAGAGTATTGGACAAAAATGTTTTCATAAGGATTCTCAGCCAAAAGTAAAAGGGTGTTTTGATCAAATTATTGGACGAGATTCAAAAGCTTCATCTTTTTGTTATTAGCAGCAATTTCCTATCATTTGGGGATTTTATCAACATAACCATTGTTGCTAAGGTAAACAAAAAATTATTTTATCTTTTTTTCACGTGTCCATTTCAATGTTTATTAGTATATAATATAATATGTTCCGGACTGGCCCAATGACTAGGCATGACCCAATCCACTTCTGCTCCCAAAACGGTCCAATTGTCTGAGTCCAACCACTTAGGGGGAAAATTTACCTTTTTGCCCCCTCCAACAGGGGAAGCTGGTCAATTTACACTTGGTTACAACACTTCTCCTCGTCAGTCTTTGTCCGCCATGCACGGTCCCATCATCGAGAAAAAGCCAAGACGTTTGTGCCCGTAATTATGCTTTTGCCCGTAGCAACATCTAGTTATGGGCACGTCTGCCCGTTATAACGGCTAGTTCTGGCAGTTACCTATTCTTCGGGAAACAGTTATCTTGCCCCAAAAATAGGGACTAATGGCCAAGCGCTAGGGCATTATATAAACCCTCTCACTTGAGAGGGTTATATATCTAATATTCACCTTGAAACACTCATATTTCGTACTTGCTCTCTCTCTCTCTCTCTCTCTTGCTCGTTTTTTTACTTTAGCATCGCAGTGTCTTGCAGGTACACCTCCTCCTCCTCTTTCACACCCAGCATCATAGACGTTTGTCTTCGGTCCGCCTCAGGTTCTGATCAACCGGTAAGATCAGTGGCACCGTCTGTGAGAAACTTGTTATCCCCGTCTTTTCTCTCTTCGTAAACACAAGACCAAAATAATTCTTCAAATTTCTGATCATGGTCGCCCGTGACAACAATCTTGATGCTCGTAACTCTGCTTTCCTCTCTGTCCGCAAGACTGATGCTGATGGGGCAGCCACCTCTCATGGCGGCGACGTCCTCCGACAAAGGGACGGAGCCACAACTTCCCCATCCCTTGCTCGTGCAGATCACGACAAAGTTTCGCTTGTCCCGCAGCACTTTCCAGTTTTGCTCAGTGCCGACCCGGCCATGGCGGCCCTCCTCGAGGTTCTTAACAAGACCAACCTCCTAATCCTCAACCAGAACGCGAGGATTGGAGCATTGGAAGAGTCCAGTCGTCCAAGATCCCCTCTGCCGAGGAAGGAGCGTTAGCGACCACGGAGTCCCCCTCCCCGACGCGAGAGGTGTAACGCCCATTTTAATTATTTTTGGTTTCTGTGATTATTTTATTCGCGGGTGTAATTTGAGAATTATTGTGGAAGGTCAAGGGCTCATAATATTAATAAAATGTGATAATTGATAGTAATGTAAAAATTATTATTAATTATTATCATTATTATTGCTAATATTAATATAAATGAGAAAATGTTATTAAATGGATTTTGAATTAAAAGAATTAAGAGAATTATATTTATTTTGGATTAAAAAGAAGATTATTTGGGATGAGGGGTAACATTGCCATTTTGGAAAAATAGACTTGGAAAGAAGAGGAGAAACACGGTTGAGCAAGAGAAAGAGGACGATCAAGAACAACAACCTAGCAAGCGGATTTCGTGTGGACTGAAGAACTTGTTCATCATCAAAGCTTGAATTGAGGTAAGGGGGGAGAATATTCGGTTAAATTGGTAAATGCATGAGTAATCGGTAGAAAGGGGGAAATCCATAACCCCATAGATTTCTTGACGTTTGATGTCGATTGCATGTTGTTATTGTTGTGATTGTTATGTTGTTTGATGTTTAATTCCTTGCATGTGCTGAGAATGTTAGACTTGGATGAGTTTTGGGATTTTCGGTTAAGTTCGAGGTTGAGCCGGAAGTTGGTTTTGAGAGCAGAGTTGAGGATTAGTCGGATAGAATCGGGAAATAGACCCGTAGTTCAGTTGTACTATGTTGTTGGTGGTGGGTTTCAATTTAATCGGGCGAAATCGGCGAGGGAGGCGATTCTGCAATGCAGAACTTTTCTGTGCGCGCAGGTATTCGCTGGGCGAATGAGGGGCGAGCCTTCGCCAGGCTTCGCCGGGCGAACTAGCCAGCGAGTGCTGACAGAAGCTTCTGTCTGGCTTCGCCAGGGGTTTCGCCAGGCGAATGGCAGCGAGTGTTCGCTGCGGGGCTTCGCCGGGCAAATGTGCCAGCGAGCCCGACAGCAGTTTATGATTCTGCTGCTGTTTTTGTGTTGTTCCGCTGTGGACTTGGACCCTCGTTGGTCATGTGTGACGAGAGGCTTGTTGGAGAGCTGATGCAAGCGTATGTTGGTGGTTGTAAGGCTGTTTAGCCGGCGTTTATAACAAGTGGCCTAATTGGTGAAGTACGCATTATGTATGAACCAATGTGGATGCGTACGTGAGATATGTGTACCGTATGCGTGCTGTGTGTGAGATGTGAGGATCAGTATGATCGTGGCGCCTTGAGTGTGTTTTGTTGGTGTTGTGTAGTGAATGGATATGTGGGATCGACGCACTGTGTGTGCTTATTAGGTAGGTACTTTATGATGTGAAAAGATCCGTGGGATCGGTACGCCTTGTGCGTCGTGTATATGTATATGCTATGTGAGGGGTGGATCCATAGGATCGGTTTGCACTTGGTGTGCTAGATGTATGATGTGTGTGAATATGGTTGTATGCTCCCGTAGAGGAGGGTGATGGCCCAGTGACCATCGACATTATTGTTGTGCTCCCTGTGGGGAGGGTGAAGGCCCAATGACCATCGGTATTGTTGGTGTGCTCCCGGCGAGGAGGGTGATGGCCATGTGTCCATCGATATTGATGAGGTGCTCTCGTTGTGGAGGGTGATGGTCAGGTGTCCATCGGAGATGTGCTCCCGTTGTGGAGGGTGATGGTCAGGTGTCCATCGGAGATGTGCTCTCGTTGTGGAGGATGATGGCCAGTTGCCCATCAGTGTGGTGTGCTCCCTGAGTGGAGGGTTGATGGCCAAGTGCCCATCGTTGATATGTGCTCTTGTGTGGAGGGTTGATGGCCAGTTGCCCATCGTGATTGTGAGTCGGTACCGTATGTTAAGAGTTGTGTGAGTGCATTGGTAGAGTGATTATATATTGTGGGTGATGGTGGGACCGTGAGTCCGGATGATATGTATATGAAATAGTATTATTATTGATTTCTGCCTTTTATTTCATGTACTATTATACCATTATTATTTAATCGTGATTCTCACCCCTTTGTTGCTGTTGTGGTCTGTGCTTCTTCGGAAGTACAGATAATCCAGGTGTTTAGCTTGTTGGATTATGGTGTCTCCGTAGGACTGCTCTGATACGTAACACCGAGGCGTTTTGGGGATTTTTATTGTTGATGTTGATATGTGTGCACCTGTGGCGTATCTGACTTTTGTATATGTGTGGCGATGTGTGATGATGATATGTATTTTGGGCAGATAGCCAATGTTGTACATATGATGGATATGGATGATGTGTGTATATGATATTTTGGGTTATGACAGACCATATCTTTTCCGCTGCAATTTTATTTGAAAAAAAAATCAGTTAAATTAACTTGGAAAAAATGTTTTGTGGAATTGTAGTGTGAATTGTGACATCCCGTGGTGGGAGATACTCTGATGTGTGCTTATTTAATTGTTTTATTTTATTTTGGGAAACGGGGTGTTACAAGAGCAACCGTCTGACACCTCCAAAGCCAAAGACCCTAACCATTGTTAGATGCCAAATTTCACTTATTTGATCTATCAAATGTTGGCATCTTTCACTCATTTTTGTCAAGAAAGTGTTGAAAATCACTCTTGCTTTGTTTGGTTTGCAATATATTGTGAAAATCTCTTGGTACCTTTGATTTATGTGTTATTGTGCAGGAATTATGCACAAAACAAGTGAAAA